ACCTACCTACCTACCTACCTACCTACCTACCTACCTACCTACCTACCTACCTACCTACCTACCTACCTACCTACCTAACTAACTAACTAACTAACTAACTAACTAACTAACTAGCTTCATACCTACCTACTTAAATCTATACCCATCAATATATCGTGCAAAATTACAAACTGTAAACAAATGTTATTGCATTTTTTCTTCTGCTGCTTTAATTTTGTTGGTGTTCTAATTAAAGCTGGTGACATAAACGTGCTGACATTCAAGTTTTGCCTTTTAGAAGTGCACTTTATTTTATTGTATTTTTTTTACTGATGTGGATTATTCTCAGTTTTGTACACTCCAAATCTGAAGCTGAGAAAATGAAAAATTGCACTGATTTCTTACTGTAAAACTTGTTCAAACATAAATATACAATAAGAATAATCTGAACAATACTGGCAACTATAAGTGTAATATCAAAGTTTGTTTAACCTTTAGTCTTCATTAGCACAGCCTACACTCTTTTAGGCTACACTTCTAGTAAATACAGATGATGATGTAAGACAGTAGAAACTGAACATCGACAGCTGATTGTCTGTTGGAGTCAACTTGATTTAAGATGGTTGCTATCATAACCAAACCTAAAAAAAATAAAAAGATGGCTGTACCGTAATCAGTTATACAGATATTAAACTACAATCTGGTGTGATAATAACTGAGAGTTATCTTTAATACAACAGCAGTAACTATTGGAGGCACTCCTTCTGTTTGTTTGCAAAATATCTCATGAAAGACTGAACAGATTTTTTTGAAACTCTCAGAAAGACCCTGAACGTAGCTGCAGCTGAATAACCTTTGACGTCACCTTGATGTGTGCGTGATGGGTTTACAGTATGTGTGTGTATTTTACCCATCTCTTCTTTTCCAAAGAGTCCTGGTCAAGTTGGCGCCACAGACAGAAATGAATAGCAGATTGAAAGAAAATTTAATTTAAACAGTTTTAAATGTTATTACAGCATAAATGGCGCAGAGGGTACAAAACAGAGAAGAATAAATAAGCTGTATAAACCAAAACATTTAAATCCTTTTTAAACCAATGTTCCACAGGGTAGTTCTTCCACAATACACTGTTGTTCATTTAATTCTAAAGCAATGCATAAAATAAAGATAGAAAAAAAGTTACATTTTTCTATTGTGGATTAAAGTTTAACCATGATTTTTGTGTTCACTTAACTAGAATGGACATAAAGACACTCATGGTTGTACACTTTTCTACAAAGATTATATTTATTGTTAAATAACGATACAGTAAATAAACTGAATTAATAATTTGTTTTTCTAAATGAAGGCCTCTTGATGTTTCGATTTCTTTTGAGGTCAGACTGTGAGGCATCTTGAAGATCTCATCTCCAGGACTTCTAATTTCTCAAACGAAATTCTGTAAATCTGCTGTGTATTGATTTTTCTTTTGTCAGTTCACCTGATCATTTTTCTGCGTTGCACCTCATGCCAAGATGTCAGCGCGTTTTAGCTTTTTACCTAATTGTGTTTCTGTTGTAAAAAAAAGTATTTTTTAGATTGTAAGTGCTGGTGTTACATAGAACAATTTAAGCTTTTTGGGTATCAACATATGAAACGTAAAGTTTGATCTTTGAAAATATTTTGTTTTGTGCAAACATAACACCATTTACCTCTTTTAGTTTGGTAGTTTGGTAGATTTTATTTTTTCTTTTCTTTTATTGTGGGTTTTAAATGTCTCAGAGGTTAGTATGATGTGACTGAACACAGTGTTTTCCAAACACTGTGGCTCAGAAAACAGAAGCTTGTGACCCCATCTGTTCCCAATTTAAATATAGAAACTTTACTAAAAGCCCATTGAAACAAAGGCATAATGACAATACAATAAAACAATTTAAGAGTTGTTGACTGCTTTTGTATGCTGACCATTTACCAAAGTAATCATTCTAAAATGAAGGTTATAAGCTAAATATTTTTAAGGAACTTTATTTAGTGTTTCCTGACCCACAGTGGGGTCCCAACCCTGATACTGAAAGTCACCAACTCAACACACAGACACATGTTCTTATACAGTATTACAGTCCTGCTTTGCCCTCAGGGTTGCAGAGAGCTGTTGCTGATCATCAACATATATTATAACACTAGGCCAAATGTTCCAACCTTCTTTTGTTGTCGGGAACTGAAGCCGGCAGGAAGTGGTTTATGGAAGCTCCCATGTAGGAATTTTGGAACCAGAGTCTGTGCACTATAGGGCTTTAAGTCTTATACAATCATGGTGGCCTTTATTTTAAGCATGAAAAAACTGCTAAATGTGTTTTAAAAAAATGAAGATTTGAACATATAGCAGAAAAGTGAGAACAACAGTGTGTGAGTTAAAAAGAGTCCACACCTGAAACAAAATAGGTAAGATGGTTTTATTTTTAATGTTTACTGTAATTAGAGCAGTGTTCTGTATATTTACATGGAGGGGACAGGACTTAAAACTTGTACCGGGAATATCTTGGTGGGGATGCTGCTGCTCTTCCGTTTCAACTTCCAGGAGCCATTCTGGTGTCCAGTTTTTATACATGTTCATGATGTCTTATCTCCAAGAGCTGGTAAGAGTTGGGGTTCACCACAGACAGGTTGTAAGACCATAACAGAGTTAATACAGGGACTGTAAAACCAATGGCTGAAAAAGGATTTTACCTGCTTCTGTTGTTTTTTTTAGAATGAGTTTGTGCTGCTTTAGAACTTATACTTCTGTAAAAACCTTAGAGGAAGCCCCACCCCTTATATTATTGTTTCCAAGACCACAGAGAAAAGAGACAACAACAATAACAGAAAAAAGAAAAAGAAAAATACAATACACACTTGGGGATTTTAGGCCACGAGAGAAAACCAAAGAATCCAGACAGAGGAACATGTGAATGTCACACAGAAAGGCCTGAATAAATGCACAACGTTAAATTCTAAGTCTTATTTTTTAAGGCTTTAAAAGTCTGTAACCCATCCACTATTAAACTCTTTTTTTATCCAGAAGTATAATCCCAGAATAAATCTCAAATTAGCAGAGGCTGTTTTACACCAAGACAGAGAACAAAATTTGGGCAAAAAAGTGACAAGGAAACATTCATGTCAGTGACAGTGACAGTAATTTAAGTTTTAATAGCATCTTAAACCTTGGCTAAAAGCAAATCAATCATGCACTCATTCATAAAAAATGAGACATTTTTAGTGCATGTTTGTTTTATTTTGTTTCTGGATAATTTAATCAGTTGTATTTGTTATGTTTTTTTTTACTTATGATTTTATTTCTTGTACCAGCCTCAGGACAGAGGATGGAATTTAGCTGCTGAGCTGATTACAGCATATTTATATTGCATAAAGCAGAAATAATGATGAATTTGCACTACTCTACTTTTAACTAAATAAAAAAAGTGTTCTAATACTTTTACATTAGCAGCTTCTGGAAAATCTTATAATATTCTGGGATTTATTTGAACATTCTTTTTGGGGGCTTCGCCAACATTTAACATTGACTTCATCTTCGCTACGTCTGCTCAGTGACAATTCACCAAAGGCTTTTTGTAACAATATCTTTGCTGCAGTCTTTGTTATTTTAAAGGAAAAAGACAAAGCGGCTGGGAAAAACCAGGACCATATTTTTAAAAAACACATTTTTACATATTAATAGTTCAAAACAACTCTCTACCTCTCCACAGCTGCCTTTAATTGTCTACGAAAAGACACTACATTGAGTTATAAAAATATTTTCCTTGTTTTGTAATGGGACAACACACTGGGATGAAGAGTGATTTACTACCAGTCCTACAAACATTTGCACACAAAGAGTGGTAGCCGCCGAAGTACGTCTGCTTCTCCCTCGTCCTTCTCTGCTTCCTACATCGAGTTTTAAAACACAAAAGAGAAGCCAACACATGTGCACTTAATCACATGTGGGATTTTTTTTTCCTGATGCGGTCTGTTGAGACACATGCAAAGACTTCACTTCATGAGAAAGTGTCTCAGACTCAGGCATTATGCAATTTATTCTTATAAAACATTAAGGTGGGACCATCACACAGTAAACACAAGTGAAAGTCATTACAGTGAAATAAGACATTGTTATTTTTTTTCACATTAACGTCATGTAATTGTTGTTTACCATGATTAAACTGTTAATCACTTTTGTAGCTTGTTCATCTGGAATTTTACCTTCTTTTCTCCGATAGTAAAAACAACCTCAACAAACTATTTTTCTAGAAACTGTGATACAAATGATTGATCTGTCAATAAAAAGGACTGACTATGGAATTTTTTGTGAAAATGTGTTGAAAATGATAAAATAGTTCACAGTAGAGCAACATAACATGTAAACAAAACTTTGCTGTCCAGATAACATATTAAATTTAAAGTGATGCAAAATATGTACACATTTTGAAGTGGGGTTCCAACGGTTATGAACAATAAATATCTTACCTGTTGTGCATAGCTCTTAGAATGACTTTAACCTACATACATTTTCATTCTGTCACTATTCACAAGTGAATTACTGGTCCAAATGAGGTCAAGAGTAAAACTGATGCTTGTCTTCTTATAATGAGTCCATGAATAAATATCATAGCCAATCATGCCAATGCTATGTTTTAAAAACCTTTTGGATTATTTGGTTATTTGGGGGGAAATAAAAAGTTCATCCAGGCTGCATCAGAGCTGGAAAATAACCATAAAATCCAATAACAAAAAGTTTATTGACATTTATATCTATTTTTGTGTTTATAAAATGCAGTTTGCACAAACTGCTGGGAGGTTTTGGAGTTCAGAATATTTTAAAATTAAGAATTATCTTTAGTCTTGGCTCCTTCAGACGTGCCAGGTTAGAATTAAGCTCTAATTCTACAAATAGAGTTTTTTTTACTGTTCATAACCTTTCCACAAAACCTCTGTTCAAAATGTACATAGTATTCCTTTAGCTAAATGAGTCTATTTAAATGTAACTTGTGGGTGATTAAACGAGAACTCATTTATAATTCTTAATTTGTATGTACAACAATGCAGGTAAAGTTTATTATTAATATAGGTCTTCAACAGAGTCCAGATAATAAATAACTTATAAAAGCACAGTTTTCAAACTCAGTGATTTTTAGCAAAGAGATAACCAACATAATACTTTTAGTTTTTTAGTGAACTCATAAAAGCATCTTCAACAGATAAAGCATGTTATGTACAGCATATCATTAATTTGTCATTAATTCTTACACAAAGCAAAGACTCTGATTAAAAATCTAAGCTGGAAATATTACACACATACATGAAGACATGAAAACTTGTTTGTGAAGGATGAAATGTACAGCTTTCCAAAGGCTCTGTCTGCATGTCAAAGGATTCACTCCTCGGTCCCTGAGAAAGAAGAACACAGAAAAATATGTAAAACAAAGCTTTTTTGTTCTGCTGCCAGACTTGGCTGGCCAACATGTGTTCATCACTTCAGCTGCAGATGTCTGATAGCGGAACAGAAGGAAATACTCACATTACTGCAGCGCTAGCTCCGCGTCCTGTCGATCATCGCTTTAATGGAGACGACAGAAATAAGTTAAACTTCATCGAACACACAGAAAAACTTATAAATCAAAGTTTGGTTCAGTTATTCTGCATCTTCTCACCTCGAGTGTGTCAGTATTCTTGATCTATGATGGGTGAAGAATTTCTATTTTGGAAAATTAAAAAAACAAAAAAAACAAGATGATGCCCTTTGTTAACAAAAATATTGAGATAGAAAATAGAATAGAAAATGAGGGGTGAAAGTCATCGGAGGCAGCAGGTGATCTTCAGGCCCACACTCATAACCCTTTAACTTGTATTGTGACTGTTGACTTTTTTGCTGCCATATTGCTGAATTTAAAACTTCAAAAACCTATCTGTTTCATTCACATCACTGAATAGAGTATATAACAATGATTAAATCAACTAAGTGGTAATGTTGTGCATAAATATTATCGTTCAAAAACTGGAAGAGAGAAAAAAGGACCTCAGATAAGAAAACAGGGCTGACAGCTTGGCTGTTACTAGTTTATGACAGTCAACAACCTGGCTGAAGTTGCTAATTTCTCACTTTGTACCCATTGTCTAACCGTTGCCACTCAGTTTGTAAGCACAGCCATAAAATATATGTCATCATATTTATCTGCTAAACATGATTAATGATGTGTAAATATCTTAGATGTAGCTTGATACAACTGTCTGAAGCAATCCATGCCATTGTTTCCCCTAAGCCCCACAAGCCCGTTTTACAACTGTGGCTATGTAAATCATTAAGTTAAATTTATTCACTTTTTTTTGCTTATTTACAATTATGAGACATAAAAGATCAGCACCCGCAACTGTCAATAGATGTATCATTTTGTCATGCTGGCACTGATCAGAACCGCCGGTGGTGACTGGGTCTCATAGGGGGCAGAGACACATTCTGCTGGTTTTAGTGCACTGATAAGACCACTACTGTAAACCTCATGAGACTATCAAATGTACAGCACTAAACCTGTGCTATCAAAAAAAGGTAGATTTTCCATTTCTAATGACAGTTTGTTCAGTTTAACACAGAAAACTAAAAACAGATGGGACATATAATACAGGCCATTTTTTCATTATTAAAATCTTCAAAACATTTTCTCCAACTTGGTAAGTCTGTATTTTGTTTTTTGTGTCTTTAGCTCTACATAATATATTGTCCACGGGTAAATCTAATTTCATTAATTGTGTGAAGGCCTATACAGTCATAGCGCCATAAAAGAAAAGAAAAGAAAACACAGTGTTTAGGTCGGATGTTCAATTTTATGAGAGCCTCTTTTAAGGGGAACCTTGCTGGAATCCATCCTCTGTTTTCAGTCTGATCTGCACCTCAGGCCCCACTGTTCTCTGTTTCTTTATAGTCCTCTCAAATTTACAGCAGATGAGCATCTTGGCACGAAGACAAACTTTGGTTGGACAGTCATAGGGAATATGATGTTTGTGTTATTTTGTCCAGCCTTCGGTGGACAAAGCAAAGTTATCTCCTGGTTCTCAAGTAGCGGGTGGTGAACTAAAGTATGGACGACAAATCATTTTCAGGAGAGAATTTCGGCCAAAATAAATTTGCCCTTTGAAGTTGAGCAGAGTTTCACCGGATACTGAGCCACAGTGGGGAAGCTGAGAGGTAGTCACGGTGAAGGTCAAGGCCTTTTTAAAGAAACTTTGCTTGGTCTGACTGCCAAAAAACAAACTGTGAATTTCTTTCCTGTCTTGATGTTTATTCAGATAGAAGCTATAAGAGCAACCTGTTTCATTATGAAATTGGACAAAATTTAGAAAAAAAACATAGAACAAAAAAAAAAAAAAACAAGCTAACAAATCAAAGCACAATGACAACTACCATAATTGCACTCTACTGAAAATACTGTATATTTGTTGATTTTTACAGCTGTATTTGTTTTACAGTGTAGCAGTAAAAAACAAGCAGCGATGGCATCAATATAGCCAACAGCAATCCACACCTTGGATACTACAGACTTTAACATCTAAGGCTTAAAAAAGATTTTCCCGACCAGGAACCTATGGTCTCAATTTTGGACTACTATATAACTAAGGTACGGTAAAGGTACTTTTTTAGTCATCAGTGTATGTTCCCATATCATGATGTGATTTGTGCTCTGCAATTGACCCATCACACATGAGAAACACCCAAGTGGAGCAGCGGGCAGCTATGTAAGAGCCCGGAGAGCAGTTCGGGGTTGGATCTCTTGCTCAAGGACACTGCAACATGTGGGCATGACGGGGAGTCGTACCATGGACAGTGATAACAGCCCCTGCAGTGCAGAGGAGCAGGGAGAGGAGGACGTGGAGAGGTGGGGAACTTATTTTTAGGTTGGGAGATGGTTATTGAATCTTATTTATTGTTACTTTTTTACATGTTTTGAGATGTAAAATAAATTATAAGCTGGGTTATTTAAAAAAATCTGTGAGATTTGAAGGAATCTGTGAGATTGCCCTATAGGTCCATATGCCTGCAAAACGGAGCAAAATCAGTGTAATTTATGGACAGTCTTTACTACTTGACATGTATGCACATCAAGGCCTCCAAACCTGACCCCCTCCTCTCTACAAATACAAAACACACCTTTCAGAAATCATTGGATTTCGACAAGAGATTGAAGTCCACCTAATTCAAGATGTCTGCAGGGGCGGAGCCAGCTGGATGGCCAGGGTGGCAAGTGTCATCCCTGGTGCCTGATTGGCCACCTTAGGTGTCACCCCCAACACATAGGGTGGTCAATCAGGTGCCAGACAAGTGGGATTTCAAAGATGGGCAGTTAGAGCAGAAAAGGAGTAAATGGCTGTGTCTCAATCCATGGGCTGCATCCTCAAGAGCGTGCATTTGTTGGCTGCTTACGTCACTGCCCCATGCCGAGTGCTGTCCCGGTGCAAAGGCTCCTCCTCATGCGGCCGAGGAATTCAGCGCACAAAACATTTTAAAAAATCAAGGATACATGAAAGTATCCTTCTTAGCCAAGGATATCCTAGGATTCAAAGTGCCGACAGCAAACTAAACAGAGAAATGAACATGGCTGAGATTTTTCTTTTTTACCAATTCATCAAGAATTATTTTTTTGCCACTTCAGTAGAAAGCAGAACTGAATGTCTGAATATTAGTATCTTAGCTTCTTCATCATCAGTGGCTTTTTTTAATAGGAGATAAAGAAAGAGAAAGAGAAAAGTGGAAAGTAATGAGAAAGAGTGAAACAGAGATTAGAAGATATGTGAAATATATGTTGAGAAAACACGAGACAGCACACCCGACCTCGTGGCTCCACACCTACAAAAACAAAGATAACAAAACCACAGCAATAAAAATGTATATCTATATAATTATAATGACTATAGCCTTGCTGAAAACCATACCCATATACAAATATAAATTTATACATATACACAGAAACATACCCATACCTACTGTACATATTCAAACACTTTCATATACTGTATATACATATACACATACACATAGTATACATACTGTATATCTATACGTACACATATGCACATATCATTCAGTCAGTGGCCGAACAGAAAACCCAGGATGTAAACACCTGTTTATGTGCAGTTGTGAGCATGCATGGATCTCTCCAATGGAATGTTTCAAAGTGACTGTGGGGGACCACAGACCCGACCCGCAAAGCCGGAAGCAGACATAATGGAGACCAGCGCCAAAGACCCCGAGAGGGACCCCAAGCGTGCAGCCCCAGAGACACCTGCGCCAGAAGGATCACCCACCCACCCCCCAAAGAGGACCACTGGGGAGAACCGGGAGAGCCCCACCAGCGACCACACACAGCAACCCCTGGGGCCAGCAGCGACGAACTCACAAGCCCTGCCGGTACCCACCGCGCCAGAGTAGATCCAGGCATGGACACAGAGGCCCGGGCTCCCAGGGCACGCACTCCCCGAGGCCAAGGCCCGACAGGGCCAGAGGGACCCAAGCCCCACCGGGCCGCCACCGGGCCTAGCCGGCATATGCCCAAGCACCCAGCCCCGGACAACGAGAGCCACCAGTGTGCTGGCGGGCAAAGGCAAAACCCACCAGAGGACAGAGCGGCAGGGGAGTAATGGGCCCTCAAATGATCCCGAAGAAGGGGCCGCCCAAGTCCCAGCCTGACAAAAATACAAGCATACACAAACACAATCACACAGTCCCACCCTCATCCTCTCACCCACTCATTCAAAGACAAACAAAATGGACGCCACAATCCACTCACACTCCCCATACATACTCTATACCCCCCAGGTCCAGGATATGCACCCACCACCTGCAGAGGGCAGTTCACACCTGAACCCAGGAGATAGATCCCTTCAATCTGGGGTGGAGAAGAGCAGACAGCCAAGTCCCAGCCCAAGTCGCACCAGTCCGACCGACCAGCCCCCAGCCCCAGCAAAGCCATGCCCCAGACCACCCCCACACCCTACTAACGGCCAGGTGCCCACCCCCAACCGACCACCCCCCAGACTCTGGTAGCCACCCCAGCCAGCGGGCCAACCACAGCAACCAGGAGCCAGACTCCGGGAGCCCGAACAGCCCCAGGGAAGCCAGAGCGCCAGCCCCGCCTCCGGAACCCCTCCAAGCCCCATGTCCGCCCGCAGCCCAGTCCCCACCAGATGGTCAGCCCCGCCCCCAGGACCCCATCTCCAGACGGCCAATGGGGAACGGGGGAGTGAAAAAGACCCCGACACACACACCCCCACCCTCAGATGTACTGATGCTGCGTGATGTTCTATAATGCAATTAAAACGGGGAAGAAGACAGGGCAGAGGCCAGCACTATGCCAGTTTCCCCTCCACCCCAACTCTAACCCTAACCCTAAATGTCTAAAAGCAAACAATGTGAGTGGGCACAGGCATCAGTGGCGAGACTGTCCCATCCAGCCCCTTACATGCATAAGTGCCCACTCCACTTCCAAGAATTTGTTTTCAAACATAAGTTTGACAACTTAGCTCATTAAATTCACGCTGCAACAAGATGTTTTTTGTTTTTTTTTTTTGGATGGCCTCCCTTCTCCCCTTATAGCCATCCTCTCCACACCATTATGTTTTTTTTTGTGAAGAGAAAATAGAGAGAAAGAAAAACAGAGAGAGAAGTAATTAGAAAGATAGAAAGACTGAAATAGCGATTAGGAGTAT